GATACGAAACAATGTTCCAAACATAATACGGGGCGCATGAGCGGAAATTTGCACAATCACGAGTCCAACTAGAGCGGGGGCGGAGGCTGCATTCGCACTGCATACACCAAGAACAAAGATCCTGGCTATTAAAAAACCTCGAACCATTCTTGGTCCAAAAGGCCGTTTTCTCCGCGAGGCGGACGCCACCACTTGTCCTTTTTGGCTACGAATAGTCCGAGACGGAGGCTTGTCCGGGACCTTGGCCCACCACACTTTCCCCGTTGTCCACATCAGGTCCCTTATATTTTTGATGTTGAGGGTGGACCGGTCGAAAAATTCTCTGTCTCTTACGTTGGTCGTCCTTCTTAGTAGCTTCTGTGTCAAAAAAATTAGCAATATAAAATTACTGCATGTGCGCATTGTCTTTTCTCTCAAACAATAGTAAACTAGAAGGAGAACAAAACTAAACACACTGAAAACATTCCTTATAAGAAACAAACAACTTAACGTAAAATAAGACTAAAGTTCGTGCTGGCGCATTGTAGTGCGTCTTTTGTGTCTGATATCAGTTCGTGAGACATTTATGCACCTCCTCTGGAAATAATGTCGTTAATGGTAAATGAAATGTCAAATTTTTTTGTACAAATACATCTCTTGGGCGGTCGAAGGGTGAAGTGAGGCAAGGAGGTTAGAAGCCTCCTCGGTCCTGAAGTCGTCGACGATCCTCTTTCTTTACACAATTATATTCATGTAAAATCTGGGAGGTCTTTTTGCACTAAGACGCTCAGCGTCTTTAAAATGGCGTATTAGTCGTTTTACCGCGTCTAAAAGATTTCCGGCGTATTAGGGACGTAAAAAGGTGGTGTTTTCAACTCTCTTTTTTTTTTTCAATGAGAAGAACTGCGAGTAGTCGAGCGCGAGTGTCTTACATTTGCCACCCGCCACGCGATACCTTTGTTGTGACATATCTCCCAACCCCCCCCTTGCACACCTTCGAGTGTGCTATCTCTTTTGTGGTTCTTATTTTTAGATTTAGGTAGGTAAATGGCTGGTTTGTGAAAGGATGATTTCTGGCCGTTTTTCAACCCCCTTTGTAAGACGTGGGGCACCGTTGACACACAACCTCGTCATTCTCTTTTAGCTGCCACTGCCTGGGTGAAACTTAAGTAAGTTTGTACAGCTTTTACGAAAGACGACGCGACGCTGTTCTTTCGGTTTGTTGAGTGCAAGTGGCTCGTAGTTGGAGTTTTGGGAAAATCTCCCGATGTTCTTTGCTCACTCATCGGGGATGTTCTAACTTCGGGACGTCTATTGCTTGCTTCATTACTTTTGTTCTTACTCCGCCTCTTCACCACCACCACCACACCACAACACACACACCACCACACACACACACACACACAACACACACACACACACACACACACCACACACGAAACACACACACACACACACCACTCTAATTTTATCGGGGTTTTTAACGAAAAGGTATTTATTTGTAACTTAAACAAATT